ATGGATGGATGGATGGATGGATGGATGGATGGATGGATGGATGGATGGATGGATGGATGGACGGACGGATGGATGATTCTCACCTGGCTTTTCTTTATCTCCATCTGTGGAGAACTCTGCTGACTGCATCTAAGAAGAACCAAACAGGCCAGATTCAGGAGAAAAGCAGCAGCCATGTTGGCAGAGATCTATTGTCCTGAAGACAGACGGTGACACTTACTCTGGTCAGGGCGGAGCGTGAGGGGGACTTGGATGCAGCAGCTGATAAGCCTGCTGGGGGAAAAGGAAGCAGAGTGGTTTCTAGGAGGACTTTCAGCTGAAACAGAGTCCTGTGATGAGACTGGACTCACTGGTGTGCATGTGGGTTCTGTCGGGCAGCGATTGGGTCTTCCTCTTGATGGGAACGCCTTTCTCCTTCTCCTCCTTCAGGATCAAACGGCCCAGGTTGGACTTGATCTGTAAGACCGAAACAGGTAGGAATGTCAATGTTTAGCTTCTTAATGGTGCATTTGTACCGTTTCTTTTCATGGTGGAACTTTTGGACCCAAAGAAACAACTTAAACATCAGCCTTTTTTTTTTCCAAAGCAAAGTTAAAAACAATCCACTGGACTTTGTTTCCAAGTTTGAAGACGTTTCTCTTCCCATCCAAGAAGCTTTTTCAATTCAAAATGTCAGAAATAGCGTTGAGTTCGAGGTTTTATGCAGCAGCCCAACAAAGCCTTGCTTTTGTTTAGAAAACATGCAAATTGAATCGTCTTCAAACTTGGAAGAGAAGTCCAGTGATTGTTTTCTAACTTTTTTTGGAATGACTATGACCATGATGACTGAGAATCTTCACCAGCAACATGTCACTCTTTCAAATTAGAAATCTTGAGGCTTCAGGTTGAATGTATGGAGGATTTTTACTTATCCACACAGCAGTGCCCATTTCTCATTGAATACCAGGCAGTAAATTTTGTAAAATTATCGGTAAATGCATTTACAAACTTTTTAAATATAGTAATTGAACTGCATTAAACATGCTCTAAAATGTCCTTTTCTAAAGCTCTCAGAGGGTCTATGAAGCAGGTCTGGAAGCTCGCTGCTCGATGCTGATTAGACAACATACTTCAGAGGAAGCTTTCCTCATGAGTCGGGTTGGAAAAGTGATCATTTAATCAGTTTGCCGAACCTCTTGGTGTGGTTTTTTTATTTCCAACCGCATCACAGCAGCTATTTTCACCCGTTGCAGTGACGAGTTTGATCTATTTCAGCATTTTTAAAAAAGATATGTGACGTTTGGATGTATTTAATATCATTGAGCCTCCCCTGTTTGAGAGCAGCAGCTGCCTCTACCTCACACTGACAGAAAAGCCAAAACTGAAGATGTCTTCTGGGAAGCAGGTGGATTTTTAATGACGATATAATAGTGAAAATGCCAAAGATTTAAACCTAATTGTTTTTCAATGTTTGGTCACTTGTCCAGGTGAATGGGTTAAAACTGGGGTTGGTAGTGAATGGGTTAGAGCAAAAACAAGAGGGAGGATGGCAAACCTTCTCCAGCTCCTGCTGCGGCTGCTCTTCTTCTGTCTCCTCCTCCAGATCACCTTCCTCCTGCAGCTTTTTCTTCCTCCACTCGATCTCTGCAAAACGTCAGCCTTGGTGTAAAATCTGCTCACCATCACACTGTGTGTGTGTGAGTGTGAGTGTGTTACCCATGGCAGCCAGTGACGGCGGGCAGGGCCAGTATTCTGTCTCAATCTTGGAGGGCTGGTTGGGGTCTGGAGGCTGGGCGGCAGGAAACTTGGCGGACTGAATGACCCCGCTTCCCTCCGAGTGTTTGTGAAGGTCTGCGGAGCGATGGGAAGCAGCTGAGTGACAACAACAGGAACAACAGCTTCTTAGAGAGGAGACGGAGAGAAACAAGAGCTCACCCTGTTTATAGATGGGAGGCTTCCTGTAGATGTTGGAGCCATTGTCTGGAAAAGGGAAAGAAAGCTAAGATAAAGACATCACAGCTTATTGGACAGATTTTATCAGAAAAACGCCTGATTCTGACCCTAGAACAAACTCATCTACTGAACTCCCTACTGATAAAAGACTAAATTAAAAGTTGCTGCACCACCCCCTGGTGGATGACAGAGGAATTGCAAGCTCATAATAAATTATCTGAAATCTAGATTCAGGTTTCCAGATTAAATTTATTTACTACCTTTACAGTATGATGCTTTTTATTAGCATTTTATTAGTTTTAAAAAGTTTCTGGTTCGAGTCCCCTTCCAGCAGCAATACAGGCCTCGACCTCAAACACTTTTATCCTCTTCTACCATTACCTGCCTGGAATCAAACCAGTACAACGAGGACAGATTCTGTTCGTTAGACTTTATATGAACCCCTATTTCCATTGGCTGGGTTTGGATCCAGTCTGGACAAGGAAAGTTAACCAGAACGAGAGATAGAAATGTGTGCAGCAGAATGTGACTTTACATTTTCATTTTCTATCCACTGTCAAAGTGGACCTATATCCTTAAAATGGATTTTTCCAACATTGCTGAAAAAAAAGAAAATTAGTTAACTTGAATGAAATATTGCAAAATAAAACATGATGACAAGAAACAAGGTCAATTGTTGCGGGTTTCTGTAGAAATGTTTTAGAAAACTATGAAAATGTTGACTCTTAGTTCGTAAAATTTTTTTTTTTCATTTTTATATCTGGAATAGCTGTCAAACAAAAAAACTGATTTGACATTTTTCCACAGTCTTGCTA